GGTTAGGCAAGGCAATAGGGCTAGAAATAAGCACTAGAAGTGATCAGCAGAGCTAAAATGTGGCTGAGGCTGTGTTCTCAAGCTGCTGGGAATAAACTGAAGTGGTTGTGAGCATGGTCTTTAGCATCCACACTGCCTGCCCGTGAGCATCAGCTGATGTCCTGAGGAACTTCTCACTTCTCCATATCCTCATTTCCCACCTCTACTACAGGGATAATAAGAATTTCTAACTTAAAGTTTTACTACCAAGACTAGATGACCTAATCTATGTCAAGTACCTAGCACAACACCTGGTCAATATTATGTGCTTATTAGACATATAATGAAGACTTTGTGTTTTGTTCTTATCTACTCACATGATCTTAAAAATGTGTTTCTCAGAAACTAATTTGTGCAACATTCCTACAAGGTTGAATAACTGCAGGAGACCCTGGGTAGGGAGGGTCTGGCTGCTTGGCAGGCTCTGCTCCGGTGGTGTTAGGACTTGTAAAGTTCATTACATAGTTCCTGTGCCCACCACCAGGACTTATTGCTCACCATAATTACAACAGGTTTCTCATTGTTCAGGGTTAATGAGTATCTTACTGTGTCCTTTGATCAGAGCTTTGGCTTCTAAAGGTAAATTAGTACTTTTGAAATTTTAATTCAAAAGGAAAAGAAGCTTTTTCTGTTCATCACATGTATTATGTAGATGTGACAATTATAGCACTATAAAGAAGCCTGCATACATGTTTAATGCACAAATTACATGTGAAAGGTAGCTCAAAGGCAACACCCGGGGTCTAAGGCTCCAGCTTTAAAGCTTCTAACAAAAACTAATGAAATATTGAAGTCAGGGTGGTATTAGCATCTACATTTACATATGTAAATGTAGACATGAGCAGCCGATCTATGTACATGTTCATGTATCCACATATGTATATATCTACATATAAAACATGATGTTCCTGCTTCATGTTCTTAAAAATGTTTTGGTACAGGGTCTATAGGGTCTCACTACACAGATCAGACTTGTAGTGATCCTCCTGTTTTCCGTATCCGAAGTACTGGGATTGCAGGCACAAACCACCACACGCAGTCTCAATTACTGTCTCAGCGTGCCCTGGGTGCGGTGCTGGCATGGGATGAGGTGCCAGGAATTGAACACTGGTGCCTGCGCCCTGTAGGCACTTTAGTCTGCAGACTTATCTGGCCAGCCCTGCTCCTGCTTCATTTTTATAGTACAATAACAAATAGTTCTTCAAATGAAAAGTAGTAAGAAACAAAAAAAGCTGTGGAATTACTACATCATAGTTAAAGGATAATCAGGCTTTGGATTATATCTCTAAATTCCAAGTTGTATACTTATGTTTATCTTTCTACCTCACTTAGGTAGATGTGGTTTGGTTCAGTAATTATAATGCTGTTTTTGAAACAGCATAGAAAGAGTCCATAGTTAAGCAGGAGTGATTAGGCTTGTACCTAATGCAGCAGCTTTGGCCTGCCACCACAGGCTACCAACAGCCCTCTTTGCGGAGAGAAGAGGGAATGTTGGGAATTTCAGAGTGTTGTGTATATCTAGCCAGTGGGCCTTGGGCTGTGGCACATTCTAGTCCTCAATCAAGAAAAACACACATGCCCCTCACACAATTCCAACAGGCTGATGAGTAGAAGACAGATATCTTCAGCCTCTGCCCTCCTTCTCCTTGCTGTACCCCACATGAGAAGGGACTTGGCTGGATGACTAGGCTCTGAAGGTCATGCTTGGCTGGGCTGGGCTTGCCTCTTCAGTGTCTCTTGGAAAGCTGGCCTGGCCATAGGACTTTTTCATTCTGGTTTGTTCTCACCTTAACAGGCAGGATCCTGTGGAAGGAAGCTCAACCTCTGGGGAAGGAGAAAGGGGAGCTATTCACAGTTTCTTTTGTCCACAAATCCAGACCTACAGGCACAAATCAGTAATTAAGCTGACATTTTTATCTTCATCTGATTAATTCTGTGCCTTTATTCTTACTTGGGTTGAACTCAGCAATCTCTGTTTGGGTCCCCAAAACGCCCAACACTTTAGAAGGCTGAATTAAGATCAATAAGGCTGTATATTTTTGTTGACTGTGCCTTGTCACTGTAAGTGATGGAATCCTGCACAGGTTTCTAGGTAGGTAGGTTTGTGTGCATAGTAAACAAAGGACTGGACATGGCACATGGTGAGGTAGAAGCACATAGTTTAATGAAGTTTAATTAAGAAATGGTACACTCAGCATGAGCAGGCTTGCACAGCTGGAAGAACACGGGAGGAGAGATGAATGCACTGGGTTTAAGATTTTATAATGAGCAGTAGAAGGTGCAAACCATCAGTGCTTTGGCCGTTGCTGCCTTGGCTGAAGCAGCTACTCAGTATGGTATCGAGTCTTTTGAGTCTGTGCTGAAGCTTTTATGGAAGGGTATCTGCCAACACAGAGGAAAGGGTTTGGCTGCCTTCTTAAAGGCCATTGGGTATCCTATCCCCCTCATGGGTGCAGAATATGCCAACCATTATACCAGAGAAGTGATTTTAATCCTTATTTGAGAATTCCAGTCTCCTGATGAAGAGATGAAGAAAATTGTGCTGAAGGTAGTGAAGCAGTGTTGTGGAACAGATAGTGTAGAAGCAAACTACATTAAAACAGAAATTCTCCCTCCTTTCTTCAAACACTTCTGGCAGCACAGAATAGCTTTGGACAGAAGAAATTACTGACAGTTAGTTGATACCACTGTGGAGTTAGCAAACAAAGTAGGAGCAACAGAAATCATATCCAAGATTGTGGATGATCTGAAAGATGAAGCTGAGCAGTACCAAAAAATGGTGATGGAAACCATTGAGAAAATTATGGGCAACCTGGGAGCAGCTGGTATTGATCATAAACTTGAAGAACAGCTGATTGATGGCATGCTGTGTGCTTTCCAAGAACAGACCACAGAGGACTCAGTCATGTTGAATGGCTTTGGCATAGTGGTCAATGCGCTCGGAAAGTGAGTCAAACCCTACCTGCCTCAGATCTGTGGTACTGTTCTGTGGCGCTTAAACTATAAATCAGCAAAAGTGAGGCAGCAGGCAGTGGATTTGATCTCTTAAACTGCTGTGGTCATGAAAACGTGTCAAGAGGAAAAGTCAATGGGCACTTGGATGTTGTGCTGTATGAATACCTGGTGAAGAATACCCCGAAGTGTTGGGCAGCATTCTTGGAGCCCTGAAGGCCATTGTAAATGTAATAGGTATGCACAAGATGACCCCTCCGATTAAGGACCTGCTTCTCTGCCTCCCTCCCATCTTGAAGAACAGGCACGGAAAGGTGCAAGAGAACTCCATTGACCTTGTGGGACAAATTGCTGACAGGGGAGCTGAATATGTGTCTGCAAGAGAATGGATGAGGATTTGCTTTGAACTTTTGGAGCTCCTAAAAGCTCACAAAAAAGCAATTCATAGAGCCACAGTCAACACATTTGGCTATATTGCGAAGGCCATTGGCCCTCACAATGTGTTGGCCACACTCCTAAATAACCTCAAGGTTCAGGAAAGGCAGAACAGAGTGTGCACAACAGTAGCCATAACGACTGTCACTGAGACACCCCTTCACGGTGCTGCCTGCCTTAATGAATGAGTATAGTGCTCCTGAGCTGAATGTTCAGAGTGGTGTGTTGAAGTCGCTGTCCTTCTTGTTCTAGTATATTGGTGAAATGGGCAAGGACTATATCTACGTGGTGACACCACTACTTGAAGACGCTTTCATGGTTAGGAAACTTGTGCTCAGATGGCCAGTGCAGTGGTACAGCACATGTCACTTGGTGTATATGGTTTTGGCTGCAAGGATTCTCTAAATCACCTCTTGAAATACGTATGGCCCAACATGTTTGAGATGTCGCCCCATGTAATCCAGTTGGTAATGGGTACACTGGAGGGGCTCCGGGTTGCTATCAGACTGTGCAGAATGCTGCAGTTCTGCCTCCAGGGTCTGTTCATCCGGTCCGGAAAGTCTGCGGTGTGTACTGGAAGATTTACAACTCCATCTACATCAGTTCCCAAGATGCGCTTATAGCGCATTACCCACAGATCTATAACGATGACAAGAACACCTATATTCGTTATGAACTTGACTACATCTAATAATGTTCTGTTGATTTTGTGTTCAATGCACAGCTATTTCACCCTTAAACTTGCTTCAATTTGGTGATAAAATATTTTAAACATTGAAGGTCTGTATAGAGCTGGTCCTAGAGGAAGAGCTAGAAATTCAGTAGCATGATTTTTAAATAACCTGTCTTTGTTTTCGATGTTAAACTGTAAATGCCAGTAGTGACCAAGAACACAGCGATTACACACACTATACTGGAGGGGTTTCATTTTTAATTCATCTTTATGAAGATTTAGAATTCATTCCTTGTATTTAAAGGAAATGTTTAAAAGAGAAATAAACATTTGTGTACAAATTAAAAAAAAGAGTTTGTAATATTGCTCCAGGTCTAGGGTACCTCACACTGGATCTTCTAGGACATGATTGATGTGATTGACAGGGTGCTGAGTCATGCCCGCTATCCTTTCCCACATGTCACACATGTCTTTTCCCATAATTCACTCTAACTGGACATATGAGAAGCACTCCATACACAAAACCTTCAGTAAGTGCTAAGTGAAGAAAGGCTGCTTACTGTATGTCATGTAGGAGGACCTGGCATGCAGGCATCTTCTCTCTAATCCCAGGTAGTAGGCCTTAGGACAAAGGTCAGCACTTGGCACTAGGGCCTTGTCAAGATTCAGGGGAGCAGAGCAGAGTGGTCCTGTAGCCCCATTTGTACTACTAATTCTGACACATAGCCATTCTAATCAAGAAGCTCAGAGGGTAAGCGATGAAGGGAATATATGTCACTAGAGTGAGGAAAAGATAAACTTGACTATGTCTTGAGTGATGCCACCAGATTTCCTTTGACTTGGAGGAATTTGACCAAAATACAGTAATAAAAAAATCTATAAGATTTTAAGAGAAGGGAGAGAAAATGGCGTCCACGGATTATAGTACCTACAGCCAAGCTGCAGCCCAGCAGGGCTACAGTGCTTACACAGCCCAGCCAACTCAAGGATATGCACAGACCACCCAGGCATATGGGCAACAAAGCTATGGAACCTATGGACAGCCTACTGATGTCTACATCCAAGCTCAGGCCACTGCCATCTATGGGCAGACTGCATTTGCAACTTCTTATGGACAGCCTCCCACTGGTTATACTTCTCCAGCTGCCCCCCAGACCTGTAGCCAACCTGTCCAGGGGTATGGCACAGTGCTTATGATACCACCACTGCTACAGTCAGCACTACCCTGGCTTCTTATGCAGCTCAGTCTGCTTACAGCTCTCAGCCTGCTTACCCAGCCTATGGGCAGCCCCCAGCGGCTACTGCACCTGAGAGACCACAGGATGGTAACAAGCCTACTGAGACTAATCAACCTCAGTGTAGTACAGGGGGTTATAACCAGCCCAGCCTAGGCTACGGACAGAGTAACTACAGTTATCCCCAGGTTCCTGGAAGCTACCTGATGCAGCCAGTCACCGCACCTCCATCCCATCCTCCTACCAGCTATTCTTCTACACAGCCAACTAGTTATGATCAGAGCAGTTACTCTCAGCAGAACACCTATGGGCAGCCGAGCAGCTATGGACAGCAGAGTAGCTATGGTCAACAAAGCAGCTATGGGCAGCAGCCTCCCACTAGTTATCCCCCCCAGACTGGATCCTACAGCCAGGCTCCAAGTCAATATAGCCAACAGCAGCAGCTACAGGCAGCAGAGTTCATTCCGATAGGACCACCCCAGGAGCATGGGTGTTTATGGGCAGGAGTCTGGAGGATTTTCCAGACCAGGAGAAAACCGGAGCATGAGTGGCCCTGATAACCGGGGCAGGGGAAGAGGGGGATTTGATTGTGGAGGCATGAGCAGAGGTGGGCAGGGAGGAGGACGTGGTGGAATGGGCAGCGCTGGAGAGCGAAGTGGCTTCAATAAGCCTGGTGGACCCATGGATGAAGGACCAGATCTTGATCTAGGCCCTCCAGTAGATCCTGATGAAGACTCTGACAACAGTGCAATTTATGTACAAGGACTAAATGACAATGTGACACTTGATGACCTTGCAGACTTGTTTAAGCAATGTGGGGTTGTTAAGATTAACAAGAGAACTGGGCAACCCATGATCCACATCTACTTGGACAAGGAAACAGGAAAGCCCAAGGGTGATGCTACGGTGTCCTGTGAAGATCCACCGACTGCCAAGGCTGCTGTGGAGTGGTTGGATGGGAAAGATTTTCAAGGAAGCAAACTTAAAGTCTTCCTTGCTCGGAAGAAGACTCCAATGAACAGCATGCGAGGTGGCATGCCGCCTCATGAGGGCAGAGGGATGCCGCCACCACTCCAGGGAGGTCCAGGTGGCCCAGGAGGTCCTGGGGGACCCATGAGTCGCATGGAAGGTCATGGAGGAGACAGAGGAGGCTTCCCTCCAAGAGGCCCCCGGGGTTCCCGTGGAAACCCTTCTGGAGGAGGAAACGTCCAACATCGAGCTGGAGATTGGCAATGTCCCAATCCAGGTTGTGGAAACCAGAACTTCGCCTGGAGAATAGAATGCAACCAGTGTAAGGCCCCAAAACCTGAAGGCTTCCTCCCGCCACCCTTCCCACCCCCAGGTGGTGATCGTGGCAGAGGTGGCCCTGGTGGCATGCGGGGAGGAAGAGGTGGCCTCATGGACCGTGGTGGTCCTGGTAGAATGTTCAGAGGTGGCCGTGGTGGAGACAGAGGTGGTTTCTGTGGTGGCCGTGGCATGGACCGAGGTGGTTTTGGTGGAGGAAGACGAGGTGGTCCAGGGGGCCCTCCTGGACCTTTGATGGAACAAATGGAAGGAAGAAGAGGTGGACGTGGAGAACCTGGAAAAATGGATAAAGGTGAGCACCGTCAGGAGCGCAGAGACCGGCCCTACTAGACGCAGAGACCCTGCAGAGCTGCATTGACTACCAGATTTATTTTTTAAACCAGAAAATGTTTTAAATTTATAATTCCATATTTATAATGTTGGCCACAACATGATTATTCCTTGTCTGTACTTTAGTATTTTTCACCATTTGTGAAGAAACATTAAAACAAGTTAAATGGTAGAATGCTGAGTTTTTTTTCCTTCTTTCAGAGATGGTTGTTTAAGATTTAACAATGGGAACCCTTGTGAGCATGCTCAGTTATCATTGTGGAGAACCAAGAGGGCCTCTAGCTGTAACAATGTTCATGGTTGTGATGTGCTTTTTTTAAAATAAAATTTCAAATGTTTATAAACAAACAAAAAAAAAGATTTTAAGAGAACTAAACTATTCTTTCAAGAGCTTAATAAAAATCTGCAACACCTATGCAAATTTACTCCCCAAAGTAAATCAGAAAACTACTGCACCTTAAGGAGAAGCAGTAAGACTCAGTAATTGCAATAGCCATTTAAACCTCAGCAATCATATCAACATAATGTTCTGAGATGGGGCCACAGAAACAGTTGCTAATTCAAATTATTAGTAGGCAGAAAGCAAAGCTAAACTGTGAGGTAGAAAAACTTGAGTATCTTCTGGGAACCAGCTAAAAGAAGGGTGAAAACTTGAATATTACTTCTGCATTAGTATTATAAACCATACACTTGTCTTTTTCCTCTTGCTGGAATGGTTTGAGGACAAATAGTTAGAGGTTAAAGCTGCGTGCTAGCTGTTTTCCAAAGATGGTCTCCCAGTGAACCATGACCTGAAGTACTCCTGCCTTTTTGAATTTCCTTCTCTTGAATTCTGTTGTTTATCACGGTAACAGTAGAATACAATGAAAGTGGTGCTGCAACAGAAATTTGCTTCTCACTGTTCTAGAAGTTGGAAAGACCAAGATCTAAGTGCTAACACGGTTGAGTTCAGGGAGGGTGCACTTGCTACAGACTTGTTTCCTGGTGGTGGAAAAGCTAGCTGGCTTTCTGCTTTCTGTGGTCTCTTTCATCAAGGCTCTAATTGTAATTGTAAGAGCTCTTCCCTCATTACATAGTCACTTCCGAGAGATATCCACCTCCCAACACTATCACCTTGAGAGATAGAATTTCAGCCTGTGAATTTGAGGAGAGGAGTAACATTTTTACCATTGCACCAGGGAATGCAGGAAACTGGCATCCATGTTTTACCCCATGGGAACCACTCAGTGTTTATATTTCCACCACGAACCTACCTTTCCTTCCAGAAGAAGCAAAAGTAACACATCAAACAGCCGTTGCATCACCAATGTTGGCAGAATAGTGATGCTGCGGGCAGAACTACATAAGTAACAGGCAAATAGAGAAATTAGTGGGAAAGTGAATGCCCTGTGGAAGGTATTTTTAACAATACCTAGAAGCTGAATTGGAAATGAAAACTGAAAAAACCCTGCAAAACATTGTAAAGTACGGACAAGAAAATGAATACCCTAGCACAGACCACCCTGGAATGAAAAATAAGCTAAATGGAGACACAGGACATAACACTGTGCTCCAGAGCTCAGACTCTGGAGTCACAGATCTGACTTTGGTGCTTGTCACCAACCCTTGTAGTAGTGTGATACTGAATGTGTGACTTAACTTCTCTGATTTTACAACAGGGACTCAGAATTGAAATATAGAAGCATAAATGAGCACTAAATGAGATGATAAATGGATGCAGCTAGAAACTATGTTGGTAAGTGAAATAAATCAGATCCACATGTGCAAACATCATGTTATCTCACTAGTGTGAGAACCTGAAAGGTATAGCAGATACTGTGAAAGGCAAAGGAATTGTTCGATGAGAAGGAAAAACAGGTATGAGGAAATGGACAAATGAAAGAAGAGAAAAAAACATGTTTAGTTATATATGCAGAATAGCTTGGATAATTGTACTGTCAAGTTCTACTGGTCTTTTTTTTTTTTTTTTGGCAGAACCAGGGATTGAACTCAGGCCCTTGAACTTGCCAGGGAAGTGCTTATTGCACTCACTGAGCCATCTCTCCAGCTCTGCTAGTCTTTTGAAAGGAACAATTAGTGCTTAAATTTTTGTTTTGTCTTGTTTTGATTTTGATTTTTTCCTCTTTTGAATTTCTTATAACTTTTTTGTTATTTTTTTAAACAAATTTTACATGTTTATGTCTGATAATCTGGACAATTAATTTGAAGATAGCATCATGTAGTTGAATTCCTATTACTTTGATTAGTGAAATCTTGTATCATTTCTAATGCTGTTTTCTTTTTCTTTCTTTTTTTTTGGCAGAACCGGGGATTGAACTCAGGCCCTTGCGCTTGCCAGGGAAGTGCTTATTCTACTGAGCCATCTCCCGGCCTCTCTAATGCTGTTTTCTTTTCTATCACTATTTTGTATTCTGTAAAAATGAAACAAATTGTAAATTCTTTTTAAAAATTATAAATTATTTAAAAAAATAATGAATGAGATGATAAATGCATAATGATTATTGCCATGCCTAAAACGGTAAATTCTTAGTATATGGTAGCAATTATATTAGACACTAGTAATATGTTTTGTGTATTTTTGCTTGGATAACATAAAGCCCTGTTTATCTAAGTGTTTTCAAAAATTTGGGTCTTAATATTTATCTTATTTTGAGATAGGTTCTCACTACACAGTTTGGACTGGCCTTGTGCTCACTTTCATAGCCCCCAGGCGGATCTCAAACTTGTAGTGGTTCTCCTGTCTCAACCTCAAAGTTCTGAGATTACAGGTGGGAGCCACCACACCTGGTTCTGGGGCCAGCACCGCATGCATCGAACTCAGGACCTTGTTGGTGCTACTGCCTCTGAGCTATCTCCTCAGCCAGGGTCTTAATATTTAAAATTAAATTTTCAGAGTTAAAAGCAATCTGCTAAAATAAAGCTTTTTTTTCTCTTTCATCTAATTAAAAAGTTCTTTGACCTTTAGGCTATTGCCTCTATTATATATTTTTAAAGTCTTAAAAGTTAATATCCAAAAATTCCACTACTTGCTTTATCTGTGTCATCCCAGTTTATAAGAGAAAGGTGTAATCAAAAATATGGTGCATGTTTGAAACTTATTGAAAAAATTGGCAAAAGACACATTGTCATTAATTCCTTTCAAAATAGTGCCTTTGCTTTAGGCACACTTATCCCTTCGTTCTTGCCACTTTCTGAAGTAGTTCTGGAAGTCCTCTTCCAATAGTTTGTTTAGGAGGTATGATTTTTTTTTAAAAAAATGTATTTAGTACAGGGCTCTATGGAGTCTCATTACACAGATCAGACTCATAGTGATCCTCCTCCCAAGCGCTGGGATTACAGGCACATGCCACCATGTGCCACCACGCCCACTCTCAATCGCAGCCTCAGTGTGCCCAGGGGCAGGGCGGCACAGCACGCTGGGAACCAACCTGGTCCCTGTGTCTGTCTAAGCAGGTGTTTTAGTCCACTGAGCTATCTGGCCAGCCTTATGAGGTGTGATTTTTAAAAATACAGTTAATTTATTTATAATAGTTTGCATTGTATTTATAGTGAGAGAATTTATTATTTGGGAAGGCCTGGAGGAGAGAGAAAGCTGTGTGACTAGCCACAAGATTACTGCCAGCATGTAACTGTACCAGGGCAGAGATAGGTGGAAAGACAGGTGATGTCTCTGCATATTTCAATGTTATCCATTATTATCTAATCAATGGCTTTTAAATGTGCTCAGAAGACTCAGCCAAAGAGTTTACTTAAACATTAACATGGGCTGGGGAGATAGCTCAGTAGAATAAGTGCTTGCGTGGCAAGTGCAAGGGCCTGAGTTAAATCCCTGGTTCAGAAAAAAAAACATTAACATGCCCAGGTCCAGAGAGATAGCTCAGCGGGTAAGCACAGGGACCTTAGTTCAATCCCCAGCACACCAGCCCCGCCACCAGGGCAGGCTGAGCCAACCACAAAATAAAAAATTAACATCCCCCGGTCTGGGGATGTAGCTCAGTAGGAGAACACTTACTAAGCATGCACAAAGCCCTGGGATCAATCTCCAGCACCACAGAAAGAAACAACCAAACAAAAAAAAAAATAAGGACACGGGAACTCTAGAGATTAAATCAAGGGCAGGACTCACTCGGCAGTTTCAGGAGGCACCCAGATGATTTCAATTCAGACACTGCATGGACCACACCTTGAGAACCATCATCTCAGCACAGGAGGGCTAATGCCCCTTTACTCTGCCATTTTCCATACCCAGGGCTCCCTTAATTCAGCATCATCAATCACCACCCCCATGTGGATGGTGATGGTTGTACGGCTTGGCAAGGTTAATTTAGACAGCCTACTTGCTGAGGCAGGTGATGCCCACACACACTCTCTGGTGCAGAATCAGCATCTCAGCACTACCTGTGCATTAAGGATTTGCTTGGCATTTTGGCTATCTGGACAGCAAGATACTCAGCAGGCATAGGATTTCTAACCAGTTTGCTGTAGAGCAGTGTGCATTTGTTCAGCAGTTGGCCAGCTTCTGTGCTTTCACAATATGTCATCATGTTTAGAGATCTTGTTTTTTCATATCAAAAGATATTCTTCTAAATCCCTATAAAAAAATACCTATTACACGTGAAATATTTTTATCATTACCAAAACACCCTAAAGATTACACTGTCTTTGTTTCAATAGAAGGTAATATAGGAAGAATTACATTTGTCCTCATAAACAAAAAGTAGGACAGTGAAACCATTGGTGATTTATAATTGTCAAAGTTTGATGATGTTGTTGCCATTATTATTGTTTTTGTATTGCTGTTGGCATTTTTTAAATGTCAAGATGTATTAATTAGTATTTTGATTGTGGATAAAAATATGTATATTACAGATTTCCCTTTTCCTTTACACAATAATGATTCCAAAGATAGTCACAAGGCTTCCTATTGTCATCTCCAAGTGCCACTGAAAGACATTCATCAGAGAACAGACTGAGCGTGCAAGCGCATCACGCTGAATCAGA